TAATGAATTTTCTAATATTACGCCTGAAAACCCTAATTTTCATAAAACTCGCTTTTCGCTAGATTTTTAAATTTTTTTCTAAAAACCAATATTGCTATGAGACTCGGCATGGTCGATTACCCATAGTCCATCCGTCTTCAAGGCTACCAATAGCCACCTGGTGTCAGTCCTGGGACTCGTAGAAAATCCGATACAACGCCCGAACCACGGAAAATCAAGGTCTCGCCTGGCTTCCATTTTCAAGAGAGCATCCCGGGCTATTAGCTCATGAAAAAAAAATCAATACAATCATACTGGAAAATTCGTACACACGACCTGGGTTTTCAAAGATCTCCTGGAAAACCGGTTTCAGAAAACTCTTCTGAAAATCATTTTGCTTGTGAAAACATGTCTCCAAGTCTGCTCTTTCGCATGGCGAAAACCGGAGCTCTGAACAAAATATTTTCATTTTATTTTCATTTTTCCGAGAACAGGGTCCATTTGGACCCTGGTTGGTAGTACGAGGGTTAATGATCTTTGACTGTCGCAAACAAGTCGACTAATACGAATACATTTTCTTTTTGGGCTTTCACAAGAAAATTTTCTAACTGAAAGGAAAACAACAATTTTTCTCTGATAACTTTCATGTACAATCAAAATAACATAAGGTACCTCAAAAACCACGCGAGGTAAGCGCTTCTGGATGGATAAAATAACCTGGAATTATCTGAAAGAAGGCTAAAGTAACCTTGTATAGTTAAAATAACTGTCACTTGTGAAAGAAAAATCCCATCTTGTTCAAGGTGAATCACAGTGAGCTGAGAGTGGCCTCATTTTCAGGAATATGTTTTATTCCATACTGCAGCATCTTTGTATCAAAATCGACATTTCAGTGCAAAAGGAGAAGCGTATGCCGTGAAACTCAGTAACAGTTTGATATGTTAGTGTCCAGAGTGAAATTAAGCCTGAATTTCACTTTCTAAGCACTTGGATCAAGTACATTCACGGAGGTAAAACTACAGCGATGGAGCTGAACATCCTCGATGAAGTGAATTGTTGAAACTTGATTGATAATTTGCATTAGCTTCCATCAACTTCGACTTAAAATAACCTTTAGTCTTTAACAAAAAGACTACAGTGTACAAGCAGATATGATACGAATCATCAGCTAATTAACAACTCAGAGTACATCACAAGAATAATAGGAATATGATCAGTACTGTTTTACACAACTCGTATAATTACCTTTTTGTTTATAACTAAAATGTTTCATTTTATCATACACACGGCCACGTAATGTTATTAAATCATGATGATCAAATTCTAGTTTATAATGGTCAATTGGTGGTACACATGGTGAAAAAAACTCAAGTTTAGCTAAAGTTAATTTACCAATGAATGCTACATTTGATTTGTCCAGTTCACTGATTGCGTTGCTTATTCCTTTTAGTATCATTGCTGGAGAAGAACTGCTTGTTTATGTATGTTATTATTCAAAAGCAAACGTGTAGGATTGCAACCTATAAAGTGAAAGGTTAAGAAATTATATAACAGAGCAATAAGTCTTCAGCTAAATAAATGTCTATTGTTTCATTTGGTCTTTAGGATCGAAACTCTAAGATGCCAATTAACTATAACAACTGAGCCCATTAGCATAAGAACTTTCCCTCCAAAGAACATTGGTTCTACATCTGAGAATATATTTGGTTGCATGCCCGTAACTTATTTTCTTCAGTCCAGACGATCGAACCGTATTGAATGTGTTTGTGTGCATTTTGTTTACTGTACTCCACTACTTAGTTCTAAGAATTAGCACAAAAAATGGATGAACGACTTCACAGTACATTTTTCTGATAACAAAAAACATAGTCGAATAATGGGAAACGCTCTTGATTCATCATGTTTAATAGATTTTTACGAGGTCTACCTCCACCAAAACTTTCACGTCATTGACGCAGCGGAATAGGGTTATTACAATATTCCTGAAGATAGAGAGTTGAAAGTTTATTTTGGTAGAAATCAGAAATAATAGGAGGATTAGCGGTAAGAATAGTAGAAATCAATTTGTTCCAGTGTATTTGGGTAAGAGTTTCTACTGATTTGTATTTCGGTAGATTTTCAACTTCTACCTTTCTAGGGTCGTACCATCTGTGTATTAATCCAATTTGCTGTCGATTTAACACATTTAACACTACCGGCTGACAAAATTAGATATATGTTTAAAAGTGACTGATAATACGGGCAGATATAGGCGTTGTAAACTCGATAGCGAATCTCTTCACTCAACATACAACTGGACGCAAGCTCTTTAAGAGGAATAGAATTTTTTGCAGCTTTACTTTTAATAAAATCAATGTGGTGAGAAAAAGAGAGCTCGACATCAAAATGGTGCCAAGATCTTTGAATTCCGGAACATGAGAAACGATATGACTGTGACATTGAAGATCAGAAATTATAAGGTTCACTGCCCTAGACAAAGCGTTTTTGGAAATTCTTATGGAAATCTTATCCGAATCTTATAATAATTTTATATAGGAAAACGCTCTAAAGTGCCAAGAATTCCGTAAGAGTCTTATAAGAATCCGACAGGAGATTTATAAGAACTTTGTAAGAAAGCGATAAGACTTTTCATGCTATTCTTATCTATCTTGATGTGTAGTAATGAGTGTAATAACTTGCTATCCGATGGTAACTCATGTGAGTACTATACAAAAGGTACTTTTGTAATTGGTTCTAGTGCTTTATCAAGACAAGTATGTAAAGGATTTTGATGAATATTACTAGTACTCGAGCTGCTCTATCTTCTACCACTCAGAGAGTCTGAATGGAATGCCATCTTTATAGAAGAAAAAAGATCGAAAGCTTCGTATTTTGCTCGAGATCAGTTTGAAAATCGGAATTTATGCAAACATGCGAGATATTGTGCTTTCTATTTTCGTTTTTTGTAATTTAAATTTTTCGAACTTTATTCTCGTCCTGCAGTGAAGAATACTGCCATTTTACAGACAGTAGAGACTTAAAACGACTGGTGAAACTACCCTTCCAGAACCAAGTTGTCATCAGAGAAAAACGAAAAAAATTCTGTGGAGCAGCTTTTCCAGACAAGATGATTAGGATTGGTGTTAAAACTGTATTGAAGGCTTGAGTAAAACTCATGTGGAAAGCAGATGGATTAAAAGAGATATTATTGTTTCAAATTTTTAAAACTAGAATCGAATTTTCAGAAATCCACGAAAAAATACTCTTGAATTTATTCTTTTATCCTCAGCAGACACTCTGTTTTGCCAAACGGATAAATTCTGAACATATTACACAAAGTGGCAGAAAACTGCATATATTTCTTACAAATATTGACTATGCTTCGTGCAACACTTATTTCATTAGACTACATTAGTTTAACTGGAATAATTGTTTTCTGATCTAGTCATCGGGATGAAGAAAAAAGAGATTATATCCAAATAACAATGAGTTGCCAATCGTCAAGCCGCCTTTTTCCTCTTTTCATTTGTCCTTGCATGACGACTGAGTGTGTAGGCACATGGAAAGTCCATTGAATATTATCTTTACACTATCAGGTTCACTTTTTGATTAATTCTTACACTTTACTATCAAAAAAGCAAACCTCTCACGAAACTAACCTTAAATATTTGTTGAATTGCGGCTATTCTCTTTACTAAAATTATTTATCTGATTGTATTACTAGATCAAACAAAATATATTAGTCTGACGACGTACTGTTTAATACCTCAACGTTATTATGTTGTATTTTATATACTCGTTTATTAGACGAATTCTTTCCATGCATATAATATTATCTAGATATGTAATTATGGAATGACAAAGGGTGTTATGTTTCTTATAAAGAAAACTTTATTATCAATGATGAGAGATTGAGTGTTGACAGACTGTTATTCCAATATTCTCCTCCATCCTTTGCATAAATATCACATTGTGAAACATAATCAACTTAAAGATAACGTATCGTCTATAATTCCTCATTAGAATTGCGGGCTTCGCATGCGTTAGCCTCGATACATCCCTAATTGATTTCTCATTTTGTCCCTCATATGTACGCATAGGCTAAACTAAATTGATTAAGCATGTGTTATTAAAAATATATATACAAGAATACAAAAATTTCCCAAATAATAGGAATTGTACAAGTTCAATATGTATTATGAAGATAAAGAACAACAGCAATAACAGACAGGAACAAGTTTAACTGGAACAGTCCAAATATCAGTATTTTTTCGTCATAAATAGTCAATGTTGTTTAATTTCATGTGATGTAAAAGAAATACTTCTTTTTCTATGTTGTAATTTAGAATCATCTAAAACGGTTAAAAGGAGTCACTCTGTAATCTATATAAATCTGCGGATAGTGAGTAAGAATACACAACAGATCAGATAAATGTTATGCTTAACTCGCAGCAAATGTGGTCATTCATTATTGAATTATAAATGTTATCAATAAACTAAAACTGAGAACATAAAACTGGTAATGAATGGCGTTAGGCCTGTTGAAATATCTGTGCCAAAAGTTCAAAATTACTGGCACTGGCGCTCTTTCAGAAGTCCAGCTCTGTGGCACTGGCGCTTTTTAGCCGTTCTGTGAGGGAAATTAACGAAACTATTTTCCGAAAGAAAGCTTTCCTTTGGAGAGACATCGAGATTTCTGTACAAAATGGCAGAATTAGACATGTGTTTTGTTTGGATAAATTGGTGGGCAGCGAAAATGATAACTCACATGAGCAGAAAGAAATAAGAGAAGGAAATTTTATTTCTTTTGCAAAAGCAGAGGAATGTGTATGTGTTCAGTTTGCTTGCTATGTAGCTCATGATTATGATACATATTTCTCTTACTTGAAGATGGAAAAAACTACTTACTCTACGGTTATTACTTGCCGTAATTTTAGGACGACTGTGCCTTTGGTTTCTGAATTTGTTATTTTTTTTTACTTCTAAAAGAGTGCCAGTGCGATGGCATTGTCTGGTATTGTAGCAGGCCTTTGTCGAGATAGAAACTGTACAAGTTTATTTCGACCAGCCTTACCTCAAACGATATTGAAAGCAGATAATTCAGCAAGGTCATTTATGACATTAGCCAAGTACGGAACTAGTAAAACCTTATTAAGATGTGAATATTTCAAATCTTTACCTTCGAATAATTATCTGAAAATCTCCATATTAAACAGACAAATCAGTGAATACCTCGATCGATATGTTTCCGGAAAGAATCTGACTCGAGAGGACTGTCAAAATGAGAAGTGTCTAATCAACTGGTCTGAAAATGAATTTGCACAATTAATTCTCTCTAGCTTAGTCACAGAATTGATGGATACACATCATAATAAACAATTAAGCTTTCTCGATTTATCCTTAGATGAAAAAATTTATCTGATCGCTATCATCTGTTATTATTACAATGGTGTAGGTACGAGTAAACTGGAACATTTTGTCAATTCTTTCCTTGGTAAACGGCGAGGCTCGCTGTATCTAGCAAGTCAAGCTCAAGTACAAGTTCAAGAACGAAATATCTTTCATGAAAAGCTATTGCTAACGCATTTGAAAAATGACTTTGAAAGATTTACTATTCTGAAGAAAGATGATGAACGGTTGCATTTATTATTGGCTATTCTTGAAGGTGAAAAATTTGAACATGATGCCGGTAGAAAACATCTCTATGGAAATATTTTTCGAGATCTTACACGATTTTCGGTGTTTGGTAAGAATTCTTTGAACAAAACACCCGTGTTTATTATCAATGGCATCGATGAAAATGGATATTTTTTCCATAAAAACGAAGTAAATAGGGTCTCCTTGGAATTATTTTGTCGTTCGTCTGTATCACAAGATATTCTTTATATGGTCATGGCAAATCATTTTTATCTCTCAGTTTTCTATCCGAAAATAGATGGCATTAATATAGAAGATGCTATTATTCGAAAAGATAAATTTCCAACGCATACGATCACTTGGAATACAAAATCTCTTGTAAATTATGCTGATTATGTTCTTCAACAAATGAATAAAAATGCCACCGAAACACGTTGTAAACCATTTACCGATTTCAAAACATTGGTCAATTTTTCAAATAAGAAAATCGCTGTAATTATCGAAAAAATCCCAACGCCGAGAGCACTTCATTACTTTATGAGCGCATTGATTTTAGAAATGAACAACGATGCCAATTCGGTTAAACGATTTGAAGCGACTTTCGAAAATGTTCATGCTGCTTATGAAGAATCGTACCCATCTTACGAAAAGCGTCACAAAATTAAAGAATGAAGAATCAGTGTACAGAGTACTGAGCGTTTTTTCCAAGTATTCATGTAGTTTCTTTGTCCACGTGTCATCCGATTGTTTCAAAAAAGAATTTATTATGCCTATGTAACAATTAAATTTTTCTCGAGCTATTTTGGGATGCGGGGTAGTGGATGTGGAATGAAGACACATTCTTCACTAGGGTCACGGTTGCCACAAGGCTTCGTCGATTATATTTGAATAAAATGATCGGTCAGTGTATATCGGCCGGTTAGAATTCATAGATATCTTTCGGACGCAGAGGACTATTCGCTAGTAGGTAACCGAGTTAGCTTGAATCCGTACTCTCTATCTTTTGAGAATACATGACAAAGAGAAACTTGCAAACGTTGATCGCTGTTTCGTGCTTGTTGTTCGATGAGACTGTCACGATACATTGATCGAGGGAATCGACTTTTATTCCTGCGAGATTGATATGCGCCCTTGAAGCTGTGCCTTGCAGAGCATCGAAGAAGGCGCAAAGTTTCTGCAAAAGGATTCAGAGAAATGTGTTACTAAAATAACTGCATATTTTCAATATTCACAGAAATGCTTGTGTATAGTATATGAAAATATCACAAGGAGGGACAAGAATATTTACAAACACTCAAACAAAATGAGGCTGAGATAACAGCCCTTCTTCGAATCTTATGCCAACTCTCGAACGCTTCAACAGATTTATCTAAGATTTGTTATATATAATGAGGTTTTTGGAAAAGATTTCCGAACGCCCTGAAAACCACCTTTTCCTAAATTTCGAATTTCAGTTAAAACTTTTAAGTTTGTCTATTTTAACAGACATGGAACTATGTTGAGCAGAGTGTTCTAATAAAAATGAGATGTCTTACCGGTTTGTACGACTTCCATATCGGTCAAAATGGACGACCTTAAAAGTTTTAACTGAAATCCGAAATTTAGGGAACGGTGGTTTTCAGGGTGTTCGGAAATCTTTTCCAAAAACCTAATGATTAATTAATCGTCAACCACAAATCCTTCAAAGAATGACGTTTTGAGCATGGTTTTTAGGTAATTTGATTCTCTGATTAGCCATCAAATGGTTGATTCTTTGTTGCCACTATACGACTGAACATGTATACATTCTTTTTCCTCCTTGCGATATTTTCATATAAACATTTCATACTCAAAGTAAGAAGCCGTGATAAAAGAATAGAAAAACAAAAAGAATGCACACTTTTGCTATAGTTCATCAAACAATAAGATAGGAAGTTCGTATTAAGTGCGGACATTGTCATGTTCGACTTACCTTCAAAAGATGCATAAATTTCGTCATGCTGTTGTCTCGATATGAAAGAACATAGCAATAACTAGTAAGATTACCGAAGATAACTGATTCATCTCGATAATTTCCGAGGAAAATTATCGTGGTTTTTAAAAACCACGATAAAAATATCACGATTGAGCTTCTAGTTATAGTATTATGTGGTTTTTTCAAGGGTCATGGGTATATTGTGTTTCGGTATGTTTCCTCTTTGCCAGAGATTCTCTTTCCCTCTTTTTGAACAAGAAAATTTCTGCTGCAGTTT